CTCGCATTGAAAACTAAGCACACTGTGAAGAAATGAAAGATGAATGCTAAACTTTTTCGTATTTATAATTTCCGTATAGCTTAAACATTTTCCAATTAATTCTTAATTCTGTATCTTATGATTAAATCTTTGTTTAAATATTTTATCCTATATTTTCGCAGCCGATTCGATATATTCAATTTGAAGTGATGCACAATGCATAACGAAAAAACATGACAACGAACAAGTGTCATGCTAAAAATTGCACAGATTTTCATTTAACATAATTCCCGAAAAAGCGAGAAAAAAATCGCCAAACCAGAGTGGCGAAAAAGCAAACAAAGCTCATACAAAAGTGGGAGTCTGCCGCCATTGTCGCGGCTCCAATTCAATACAATAATAATAAAATTTGTATGCAAAATAGGCGTTGAGTGTTGAATGCATGCAAAGATTGCAGGGTGAAACCACGGGGCGTATTGTAAAGCAGGGTGGTGCAGGGTGGCTATATCTGGTAGTGGCTCGATTTACATATACAAATATGCAGGAGAGAGTTGCTATTGTTGTTGTCCCCTACGTCGGGTTGCCTCGTGTTGAAAAATCGTAATCAAAAATTGCGCAATAATTTGCATGTTTATTTAATAGCCCCGGCGCATAGAGCGCCAAATGACCCTCCGCCCGGCCATTCGCCCCTGTCAAAAAACCTCAAAAAAATAAAAACACACAGGACAAAGTGTCCTTTGCTCATACACACAATCATAGTCATATATGAGTGCCATGCATTGCAGTGACAAACATTTTGGTAAATGCCGAAAACTGCGAAACTCTGCATTTGGTTTTCGCCTTTTACTGCTTTTGGCCACCCTCATTTCTAGGCTTTTACCCCCGCCCCACCCATTTTTTCGCTGCCATTGAGTATCTCATAATGTGAGTAATTTTTTTTAACTTCTATCCTAATGAAATTGTCTGCGGGCTGAGCTTTGTCGCACTCTTTGCGCTTGTTTTTGTCATTGGGGGCCCGAAACGTTGGCCGCAAAATTTTATGACACTCTGAAAACAAAACACAACCCAAAACCGAAACCAAAACAGAAAACCAACAAAAGCGAAAACCCAAATTAGCGGACAATTTTAGAGATAGAAGTTTTTGTTATGTGTGTTTCGAAATCGAGTATCAAAGAATATTAAATGCTGAACAAGCAGCAACCATTTCGTGTGTGCTTAAATAGATGGAAAGCAATATTAAATAGATGATTTGGAATTATTAAATTTAAATTTTTCAGTCTGGCTGCGACTGATTAAAAAACTATACAACAATACTTACCAAAATTTATTTTTACATGAAAATAATTAAATCTTATAATCATAAAATAAATCTTCCATGATTAAATCGCCCATGGAAATATTTCTCTTATAAAGTTAAAGTAAAAAATTCCGAAGCAGATTTATACCTCAAAAAAGAGGACGGCTCAATAGTCACACTTATAAGACTTCGCACATAAACACAAACACATTGGCAGCACAAACATGGCACAATATTTTGACTGTTTCGTAATTTATTTGACATATTTATGGGGTTCATAAATACAGATACATATAAAAATGCGTTTATTTCTATTTGGCGATTTTTTAGTTTTTATGGCAAGCAATGAAGCTGCAAACGAAAACAACAAGAACAGGAGCAACAAAGTCGGCATCAAAAATGTATTTATACGTGCAAGTTTGGACTACTTCCAAAGCCAGGGAGCATGTTACACAACAAAAACAAATAATTTCATCCTTTTCGCTGCAGTTGTTGCTTTTAGCTTGGTCAAAGTTGCAATAGCAGAGCATAAAACATTTTTTATGTAATGATTTCTCTTTTTTTACCCGCCCTTCTGGCTTATTTTCCGTTTTGCTTGCCCCGTTCGGTGGGTCAGCTGCCTGAACTATTGACAGCTGATGATAAAAAATTGTTTGAAAAATAAACCAAAAGCCTGAAAAACAGAGGACGGGGAAGCGTAGGGAAAAGAAAGGACTAGAAATGCTTTCGGAGCTGGGCGGAAAAAATAGCCAGTTAGATGTGGCTTAAAAAAAAACGCATTACTTTTGGGACTTGACTTTGGCAAGTGGTGGGTGCAAAATGATATAGTGACTGAAGTTCGAGGGAACAGAAATTTCTTAAAAATAACTGGATTCTCCTGCCTCGTATAATTCAAAATTAAGAATTAAATTTGTATTTCTTTTTTTATCAACTCAAAAGATTTATTTGTATTCAATCACCCAAGTTAAAACTATTTTTTATTTTCATAAAACGAAAGGCATGTTATAATGAAACGGAAAACCGAACTTTAAGATCTGCCCAATGACCTATTAGTTTATGTCTTATATTTTATAGGTCTATAATTTTACCACCTCATCGCTTCGGTCCTTCAGCCAATCCATTCCATTTGAGTACCTTCCAACGCATCCCTTCGCGAATTAAACATTTTTCGCCTTTACACTTTTAATTTATGTATTTACTTTTCTGGTTTATTTGCCTTTCTTTATGCCAGCCGGCAACTTGGTTTTCCCATCGACCCGGGACTCTGTGGGCCTACCACCTGCGGCATTTTCACTCGCCGAGACTCTTATTGAAATTCCAAAGTTGAAATGACTGCAAAGTGTGGAGATGGATGTGGATGAGGCAGTACGAGGTCCTTTCCTGGCAATGGCTACAGTGTTGACAGCCATGTCAGTTACAATGCCCATCGTCGTCATCGGTTGCCGTTTGCCCGTTTTCCCGTTGAGCTTTTCCTTTTTTCTGGTCGAGTTCTGTGGTCGCGTCTCGGTCTGGAGTCTGCTTTGAGTCTGCAATATATAGATGTCGTATATATGTAGAATAATACAAATTTCAGAGGCTTCACCTAAGTGTGAGAAGCACTTACAAGGCAACTTAGAGGAGACCTCATTTTCCCTTTCCCATTTGTTTGTTTTGTTTGTGTTGTCTGGCACTTTGTTTTGCTGCTTAACTTTTGATCAGCTTTTAATATAATTTAATGTGCCCAAATTAAATGCATTTCGTCTGTAAAGTTTTATTGCAAATTATACACGTTGAAGTTGCGGTCAACGACTCAGCCGAGCAGCTAAATCAATGAAAAAGTGCCATTGGAAACCAGAACATAAATTTGTTAGCATTTTTGCAGTAAGCTTTTAGTAAGCCACCAAAACTAAAACTACTTATTGTGGGATCGACAGGGGCTTAGCAATTTATTTTGTCAAATTAATATAGTGTTTTTGAATGCCAAATAAAAAACAGGAGGATTATTTATTGTAAATAATTATTTTACAATAGTTTCAGGAAAAATACAATCAATGTTAGTAGCACTTGTGTATAGCAGATGGCTGAGAGGTAGTCATTTCAAATGGCTTATAGAAGTCATAACAACTATGCAGCACCACACGAAGGAAAGCAAAATAAGGAGAAGCTGACGTAGAAGCATAAAAAGCCAGACAATAGAACATAACAATATGTATGGTAAAGCATGTCAAGCAGTAGCATCCCAGGATATCCAACTTTTGTTGGGTTCTGTGCAAGTTCTGTTGGCGTCCCTCCAGTTAAATGGTGAACCATTAAAAGTGGACATTTGTAAACATAAACTGACAGATAAACACCCAGAGCAGACACAGAACTTTCTCCCAGCCCAGGGGAAAGGGGAACGGGGAGAGGGAAAGGAAAGTGAATGATACGAAGAGTTGGCCCTGCAATTTTCATTGGTTTATATTGCACAGCCACACGAATATATCAAGGGAAAGGTAGAAACCCGAACTCACACACACACCCACTTCTAACCAGGGAAAGCAGTTAAAATACTTAACAAACGTAGATTGTAAAAGTTTTTTATAACAAAATAAAATGGCTGGGAAAGTTGTTGTTCTTGCTGTGGTTCCTTGGGGGCGGGGAGATCGAGAGGATTGGGTATCTCTGGCTATCTGGGAATCTGGGAATCGGGTGGCGGTCAGTACTAAACAACAATGTGCAGCTGAAGGACAATTTTGTGCGCCCTACGATAAATGCAGCCACATCAAGTGGGGGTCGAAAGGTCGGTGGGTTGATGGGTGAAAGAGACTCGGGGGTCGGAAGTTCGGAGGGCACAACAAAATGCTCGCTCGTTATATGGGTCAATATGGGAAACAAAAGCATTGTGCACCGGTAGAAACAGAAAAACAAACCAAAGGCAACGTAACAAAAAACAACATGCACTGCAAAAGTTAATGCTGCAAAGAAAAATATTTAAACAAATAAAAATGTATTTTGAATTTTAATTCAGAACAATAAATATGGGAATATAATATAGCTACAAAATATTAAAGAATCTATAAGTAATTATCAGATAAAGCATATATAATGCGGGTTTTAAATAATACAATTTTTATTAAAACGAAGATCAATATATTTTGAAAAATTTAATTTAAATTGAAGAATATATATAAGACTCTTTTTGGTAATAAACTCAAAATCTTTTTTAAAAACAAATAATTATTTTCAGTCATCCTATTTTTTGCTCAACCATTCACGAGAGTAGCCAAATGATAGGGACGAGCAAAAAGGGCGGAAAAATGAAAGCAAATCGAGAAATCGGTGGTTGGATGGGACTCTACTTTGTTTGCAACATTTTGTGCTGTCATTTGAAACATCGAACGGAAGGCAGTGGTCGGGTCAGCTGGTCACTCGCCTATCAAAGGAAGGGTTGGCATAGTAGTTAGCTAGTCCAATCGGAATCCGAAGGTGTGGGGGAAAGGTCAGTTTTCCATTCACCTTTTTTTCTTTTTTTGTTGGGCCTAGAAAAATGTCCATAAAAATGTCCATAAAAACAAACTAGTAGGGGAAGATTACAATTCAAGTGTTTATTATTCACAATTCTAAAATTCATTATTAAACGGGAGCATTTTCAAGAGCCGCGCCAATTAAACTTTTAATCGTATATTTTTAAAATACACTTTATATTTACGATCCCCCCTTGGACTCATGCATAATTCACTTACCCCCGAACTCATTTTATTTGCAGATTTTATTGTGGCACTCAAGGATGTGTCGGTAATGATACCACAGGCGGTGAAACGTGGCAGCAACGCGCTGTTCACGTGTAATTACGATATGGAAAACGATACTCTATATTCGGTGAAATGGTATAAGGGCAAGCGAGAGTTTTATCGCTATACGCCCAAGGAGAATCCAGCGATGAAGGTCTTTGCCATGACAAGTGGTCTCAATGTCGAGGTAAGTACAGGCCCAGCAGTGCCCAGACATGGATGTGGATGTGGATATGGATAATTCCCCTTAGCTCTACATCCACATCCTTGTATCCATATCCATGTCCCCATAACGCGCACATGTTACTGCAGTTGCGTGTAAATTATATCCATAATGGCTGATTGCCGGCTCCCCGAACTCACAGTATTCGTTTTCATAACGACATTTGCCGGCTTATTTGCCCCACTGCCCCACGTTGTAATTATGCCAGTCCATCCGGAGACGGATCCGGATCCGTTAAGAGTTGTTGGGCGTGGCCAATTAGTCGCGCTTGGGATTGACTTGCGGCTCATTAAAAAACAATATATACAGATTGCATAAGGCCCCTGGGGAAAATGACACGAGCGAACATAAAACGAAGCGCTAAATACACTTACTAAACAATTATTTTTAGAGTTCTTAAAATCCAACATCAATTTATTTATTTATTTTATTTAATTTCCGCTTTAATTGCCAAAATTATAATATCGTAATTCCCTACATTTTTAAAATTTTGTTAGTGCTAGGTAGATTTTTAGGAAAACTTTTATTGTTACAAATTGTACTTAAAATAAATTGAATCTTAAAAAGTAAAAGACCCTTAGAAAGGGTAGTGGCCACCTTTAATTATAACGGCGGAATACACAAGGGCCAATTAGGCATCATTGGCAACAAATTGGGTTAAACATTCGCTCGAACTTCAGCCATTGATCCTCTGGAACTACCAATGACCTTTTCACCGCCCACCACTTCCCCATTTAATTTCGTCCTCTCCACTGCATTTATGTGACATTTATTTATCCTGAAAATTACGCACAATATTAAATGCAATTTATTAAATTTGATTTTTATTAAGTGAATTGTTATATGAGGTTTCCCCGTTTTCTCTTCGAAAGATTAAATTTCGCCAGCGTTATTATCGACATAAAATGCTCATTTTATTCGAAGAACTTATGAAGAGCGTTATAGTGATTTAAATAGAGACTATGTCAAAATTTAGTATAAGCTATAAAAAATTAAATTTTTAATAGTTAAACTAAGAAAAGTTACCAATAAAAGTGCACTTTAAATGCCTCAAGCGATGCTCCTTACTTTCGTATTATTAGAAGCTCAAGAGCCCACGAAATAGACGGGATAAGGATTGCACTTGTGATTATAAAGAAAGCAGCTACCTCAAAGCCCTGTGTCAAGTTGCTTTGCGTCAAAGAACGCCTTAATCAAATGAAGATGAACCCTTGAGCATTAAAATCAACCCTTCACCTTTATGCCCTCAATTTGCAGTCACTTTTCATCCGGCAATCTTGCACCGCCAGCTGCTGTGCTTTTCGTCATTCAGCAAAACCAAGACAACATTTTCATATTTTTCCCCCATCCCATTTTTCACTTTCCACTCTCTGGGCTATATTCAATTTCTATGCACCCCGTCCAGCCAATTTTGAAGCAACTAATTTTTATTACGTTCTTCATTTCCCCGCCGCTCTGCTGACTTTCTCCGTTCGCTTTCTCCTTTCTCTTTTCTCCTCTCTGCAGCGCAACCTTTCGAATCAGAGCCACGTCGTCCTGCAGTCGGTGCCGCTGAATATTTCGGGAAAATTTACATGCGAAATATCCGTGGAGGCGCCCACGTTTCAAACGGCCATGGTGTCCGGCGAAATGGAGGTGGTTGGTAAGTAAAAAAAGAAAGAAAGAGATTCTGGAAATCAAAAAAATATACATATAAACTAAGCATTGCAATGGGCTAATGGAGGGCCAGGCGGCGGTCGAGGCAAGCAAATTAATTAGAACAAATCTATTTGAGACCGACCGCCGACTTGGTGCCTTTTGGGCCAGTTTTACATTTCCATTCCTTGGCTAACGACGACTAACGACCCACTTTTTGGCCCACTTTTTGCAGAGCTGCCGGAACAGCACACTGTGGTTACCGGGATACAGGCACGCTATCGCATCGGCGATTTGGTCGACGGCAATTGCTCAATTAAATACTCGAAACCGGCTGCTAATTTGACATGGACTATTAATGGTATTGTGGTAAGTTTTGGTTTCGTTTACCACTGTTATCGGCACCCGGACACGCCTATTCCGGCCATTCCGCCCACTCCTCCTACACCGCCCTACAATTAGCAGGCATTTCGGAAAACGGTGAACGGAGGTCTTTGATCGCCTTCTATTGATGAGCCGCCAGTTTTTCAATTAGTCATTGGTTTCAAAAGGGGGCTGAAACTTTGTTCCTGGTTTGAATGCACTTTGAGTGCGAAATAGAGGTTGGCTAATGCAAGTTTATTGCGAGATTGGGGAATTCCTTAATTAATTAAATCATCAGTTTTCTTGAAATTATTAAAGTACTTTTAAGTGGTCATCTTGTTGCAATAAAATTTCTAATAATAAAAAAGATTTGAATTATTTTAAATTAATTAATATCACAATTAAATAAATTATAAAATAGCTAACTTTTTCATTTAAACTTAATAGCACAATCATTTAAATTGGTAGTGTTTAAATGGCATTTAAATTTAATTTCTAACAGTCTTAATAGCCTAAATAATTTGGATTTCCCACAATAAAACAGAGATTGGCCAGCAAATCGTTTGAAAACATTTGCCTTTACCCGAACAGTTTCCAATTGCAGTACATTAAATAGTAAACTCTTTAATTGCCTCCTCGCATTTGATCAATCGAGTTGTTTTAAAAAAATGAAAATCCAGGTGAAACGTGGCCATTGCAATGGTTTTGCAATTTTTTGCGTTTAGTGTGCGATTTTTCATTGCTCGTCTGTTGCATACTTTTTGGCACCTGCGAGTGCGGCGTTTCCATTTTGCAGGCCCATCTTTTGGCATTTATATTTGCCTAGAACCCAGAACCCAGCCCGCTTTTTCTTTCGCCTCTTCGGTTATATACATTTTTTGATACGCCGTCAGTTTTTATGCCATTCCGCTTTTGGCCAGAATGGCTGGATGGGCTGTTCTGGGCCGTTCTGGGCTGGTCTGGATGTTTTATGGCCGCAACCACAGCAGTCGACTGTCGACTCCAACAGGAGGTCATACCGGCACAGTGCCTCCTGCCAGTTTGCGCCCAGCTGCTGTCTCCGCATGATTGCACAGGTGTGATGAGGGGCTGCCAGAGGACGAGGAGGAGGATGGCTGACATGTCCTGGCATTTTGCGTTCGGTTTTTCAAGAAACGTTTAGGTTGTCAGCTAGTTTTTCTCTGTGGCGTTTTTATGGCCGCCCCAGAACATTACGGCCTTTCTCCCAGACTTTCGGCTGGTGTTATTGTTATTGTTTCCCCAATCCAGACAGTGGGTTACCTTTAGCCGGTGGCAGCTGGAGTATAGTAAATGCGTTGTCAATGTCACGGAGGCCCGTACAAGTCATATTTCAAACCTGCGCCCTTTGTTAGTCTGTTCTCGTAGGTCAGAGATCAAGTTGTAAGTTCGCTGCGCTTAGTCTGCGTTTAACTCTAAAGTAAATGAAGTCGCTTTTATGAGTCAGCAGGTACAAATCTGTCATAGGAATAAGAGCTTCAGTGTACAAGTTTAATTTGCTAGGAGCATTTTAAGAGATTTCGAAGTGATTTTAAATATTAAAATAAATCCGACTAATATTTATCTTGTTTGTAACTTTAAATTTATCTCTAACAAGTAATTCATGCAAATATTTATCAAATTTTAAAATTGTTTGTACATAATGTCAATCAAAAACCTGTAAGAAGTAATTGCAATTTACGGGTATAAATTCTATCTTTAAGTAAAGTAAAATCGATCAAATATTTTGCATCCCTCCTAAGAATAAATAACATGCAATTTGGAATGCAAAGTTTCGGATTTAATCGCCATCACAACAAGCAATTCAGCAAAAAACATATTTATAAATATACGAAAATAAAGCAGGGAAAACTAACACAAACAGCACTTGAGTGTTGCCTACAGTGGGCGGCCATGTGGGAGTGGGTGTGGGTGCCACTTGATCTTTTAGCTAACGAGCGCATTTCAACAGGAGCACCACTCACCCACTCCACACCCACTATTCACCGCCCACAGCCATCATGTGTGCTGTCAGCTATGGGTGGTTGGATGGTTTTGGGTGGCTTGGGCGGAGCAGGCCAGGGCATCGTATCTGCCAGGCACTTCAAACTAAACTCACCGCAAACAAAGTGGCCTCGTCTTCTCGACACAGCTCACCCATGTCCTTTGGCCCCTGCCCCCCGTTCTGCTCCCCCATCCTGGCCAGCATCATCACCATCATCTGCTCTAGTTAATCACTCAAGCGTAAATCTATTCATCATTCATAAGTTATAAATTTGCCTCGGCCGCTCTGGCGTCGTTGGTCGCCTTTATTTTTCGGGGCAAAAGTGTCAGTCGGTTTGGTCGGGGGGAATAGTTTTCGCTTTCATATTGCCGGCCCACTTCATCGAGAAAAGGATTACGGAATATTTGCAAATTGATTTCGCTGCAATTTCGAGAGAGATGTCACTTGACACTATTCATCTTTATTCGTTTCTTGTAGGTGCCGCCACATCACATAAAGACTTATCAAAAGGAGAAGCGGGAGAACAGCACCCTGGAATCGGTGACGAGTGCCATACATTTCATGGTCACCAATCAGCATTTCCTCAAGAGCCAGATGAGGGTAAGCCACGAGTACAGTCCGCACCAGTTGAGATACTAATAAACCTATACCCAACCCATCCCATTTCCCGTTGTTAGCTCAAGTGCACGGCCAATATCTTTGACATCTTCAAGGAGGAAATGGAGAGTGTCATCGAGGAGGACCGGCCCAGGATAATGGCCTCAGGCAGATCGTATGACATCAACAATTATCCCCTCGAGGAAAACCCGAACGGCGAGCGGGGCGGCTACGAGGATCACAACGAGTCCTATTTGACTTACTACTCGGGTGAGTACCTTGAGTTTGAACAAGGAGGTTGATTGAGTAACAAATTGCCATTAAATCGGGGGACTATAAAAACAACATAAAAAACAGTTGCAAATTTACAAAAATTATTTTAATAAAATTTTTAATTTTTTTTTTAATTTATTTTAATATTTTTCTTTGAATTACTATGTCTGAATCTAGCAGTTATTTCCAATCCAATTATTTATTTAATTTTATCGCTTAAATAAAAGCAATACCATAACTTACCACATCAAAAAGATTAGAGTGAACATTCGATACGTTTAAGTGATCCTATATCAGAAAAATGGTAAAGCCTTTGGCAAACAAGCAAGATGGACTGTATCCCACTTAGTTCGACCCACTGCATCCTGTCGAAGTCCCCGGCACACAATGTAAATTATGTAAATAAAATTGTGCAGCATAAACACTCCGCAAGACCAACAGCTAACAACCAGGAGCAAGGAGCACGGAGCAGGCTTATCGAATCAGATGGCGGGCAAATCAAATTGCTATAAACTAAGTTTAGACATGAAAGATTGTCGCGGAATTGCGGCAGACTGTACGGGACGGAATCGTGATTGGGGCCTCGGGCGAAATGGCGAGGGAACCTTTATGTATCCTTTTCTTTTTTTTTACATCCTGTTCCTTTTTTTGCGGTTCTCCCTTTTGCCACTTACTAGCGACAACATTTACTTAACACCAAGTAACGACAACATCAGGAATAACAAGTGTGTAAACGCATTGAGCTGAAAATTGTATTTAAAATTGAGTTGACTGGCTTACCGCTGAAACGGGGAATAAAGCTGGGGAATGGATATGGAAATGGCAATCTGAAACCCAGCGAAACATCAACGTATGCAACAATATTTTTGGTCCACAGTGCCAAAGGGAAACCCTCAAAACGGAAGTTTGCAAGCCACCCTCGTTATTAAGTAGAAGGAACGAGGAGATATCATATTCCGATTCCTTGCTTGCATTCCGCTCTGAACTTTATGCAAATGCACTGTTGACACACCCACATGCAGGAAAATCAGTCTGGGTGAATATCTACATAGATAGTTTACTTTTTGGTGGAAAAATGGATTCCTTCTATATTTTCTTACTACTTCCTAACCATTTCCAGAACTAAATTATATTTAAATACCTTTAAGACTGATTAGGGGAAAAATCAAAGTTTCCGTTTTTAATGATTTTAATTTTTAATAATAAATATAAAATGTTTAATATTTTGCCGTATAAATTATTAAAGAAATAAATAAATAAAATATTTGAATTATTTAAAAAAACACCAAAAAATGTTACAGGTCAAGATTAAATATAATTTATTTCCTTCAAACACATCAAAGGGCCAAAACATGGCTTCCCATTTAATGGCAATCTCCCTTTGTTTCCGTGTTTTGCCACCCAAAAACTCACCTGCCTAATCTTTCCATTTCAGCGGATAACACGGCATCGGGCGCCTCGACAGCTGCACATGAAATCTTTTGGCGATTCTGGCCATTGCAGCTGGCAAAGCTAAAGCTTCCCGTCAACAGGCAGTTGGCGGGGGCGTGGCACTGGATCTGCGGGGGCGGCGGAGCGGCGGCTGCCCTTCTGCTCTCGGCTTTTCCGCTGCTCCTAGGGCCGCTGTCCCATCAAATTATCAACTGTCAATACACAAAGCTGGCGACTGGCAAGGTGCAACAGCAGCAACACCAGCAACAGCAACTCCATAGCAGCAACATCGATGTGACAGCTTCAAAAGCGGCAGCATCCGCATCCACATCCGCACCGAGCGTCAAATGCTTTTATAATTGTCAAATGGCTATGGCGATGCCAACTCAAAATCGCGACGATGATGATGATGGCGATGCGAATATTGGCAGCACAAGTGCAAATGCAGCAGCAACTGCTGATGCTGCAGATGTTGCTGCTGCTGGAGAAGTTGCAAGTTGCAGCATTAAGCGGCTGTCAGCGACACTTGTGGGGGGCGGCGAGGGTGCAGGGGGCGTGGCCAGTTGGCCGGATCAACGATTATTGATGACTCGGCGGCGGCAAAAGCGGCAAAAGTGGCAAAAGAAATCGCAGGCGATGGATGCGATGATGCAGTCGCGTTGGAGCGCGTGCTGATGCCGAATTGATGATGAAATCCATTTCCGAAAGTAGCTTAAGGTGCTCGCCACCGTGCAAAAATGAAAGAAACAGAAAAAGAAACCCAGAAAAGCGGCCCTTTTCCCATTTCCCCTCCGAATTGTTGAAGGGCATAATTAATATACATTCGTACTCATATTGATTGCATGAGCCAGCTGCATAAATCGATCTGGTCGTAGCTCGTAAGTGTTATACGCATAAGGTCAGGGAGAGCGCAAAGGGGGCTCGTATTTAATTATGGAAAGTATGGCCCGCAAGTAGATATGAAATCGATGAATAATAACAGGAAATAATTTAATGTTAAGTGGGGTAAAAGTAAGACATATGGTGAAACCAATGGAATAGCTAGCACCCTGTACGTTGCAATCGCAAAAGTTTTCTTTGATTTGTATTTTTTACTCTTCAAAAAATATATTAAAATATTTCTTAGCACCTCCATTTATTTTCAGAAACTTTCTTTAAGTATCCACAATAATTTAGTCAACACAAATTTTCTGACAATAATATTCCTTATCAGAAGTTTTGTTCCACCTTTTACTGTCGATTGTAAAAATCACAACAACACAAGAGCTAAAGGGAATCCGCTCAATGAGAGCAGCATCAATAAACAGTTAAAGAAATACACAAAATGCACAGTTAATTTGTGGATTTGCGTACAGGGTGAAAAAATGAAAGCCGAAAAATACTTCAAATGCTTGTCATGTACTTTAATCTCCTTGAGTTGTATATCAAGCATTTAGCATATTCACCAAACAAAAAAAAAGATTTAGGAAATGTGCACAGTGTACAGCAAGCTGAACTTTAGACTGCACTTGAGCTTAGCTTTCGGGTACCGTAGTGCATTTTAAAGTGGGTTTTTCAAAGCTTAAACATTGTAAACAACTCGATGTAAAAGGAAAAACTAATGATTTATCTTCCCCTCGGCATAAAGTCAATGTGTATATAAAAAAACAAAAATTAAATTTCATATGGTAAACTCCACTGTACAGAAAGGAACTTTTTACGGTTGTGGAAAAAAAGCAAAATTAATTATTATAGCAATCATTTGTTTGTAGAAAACAGCGAATAAATACATAGATCAAGCTAAAACGAAAATGAACATTTAATTTCGACTCTTATTTCGGCAATATTAAAACTCGAAGGAAACAAACGATTATTTAAACATTTTTGGCCAACAAAAATCCAGCGGTAAATAGTTCCTTTACCTTAAAAATAAATCAATGTAATGCAATGGGTAATCTTAGCCAAAAAAGAAAACAAATATGTAAATGAAAATGAAAATAATAACCAAAATCAAGAAGTATACATGTTGAATGATTTATTAAAAAACGATATAAATTAAAAATGTTTATAAAATATGTAAATAAAAAACATAAAGGTGTAAATGTTAAAATGCAAATAATACAAAAGTATAATAATAAAATGCATGCGCTAAGATTTCTGTAATCAAATCGTGTTGTGAAAGTTGTCTTCCCTAATTTATGCCCATTACATTATTAACAATTGGAAGGGAATTTTACGTTAAATTTAATTTCAGTATGGTTTCAATTATAGCCATTATATGATAAGCAGCAGATATATAAGAATGTAAAAAATAGTTTTATGTATATAGAGAAGGGACAAGAACAATTTTGATGTTACTGAAAAATATTTCAAATATTAACCAAGAGATATGAAAATAGGAAGATGACAAGTACATGTTTCTAGCTGCTAGAGACAAAGATAAGTCTTAGATTTATAATGAGAATCAAAAACACAAGCAAATGCATTTTGCATTAAATATAATATATTCATATCCCCAATAAATAACCGAAGATGTGTAAAGCCAAAATAAATGTAATAGTAAGCTCTAAGAAAACAAAATAGTGATGTAAAAACACGCAGCAAGGAAATAAAGTAACCATCTATTCAATAAAGAATGAAGACAAGTTTTTATGTGGATGTTAATATATTAGAAAGGTAAATAGTTTGAAAAACATTTATAAAGTTTAACTATTGGTATTTTCTTATTATAGTTACCCTTTAAAACAAATAAACAAAATTATTAATTTGCAGCAGTTTTATGTATTCGTGTTTATTTAATAAAACATTTTGAAATTTTTAAATATGAATTAATTCCTAGAAATTTTATAAAGTTTGAGGAGTACACTTTTGAAGCTCACTGTATCCAAAACGCCATCTGGGGAGCTTTTGTAATTTTGCAATGCTCGACTTTCAGTTTAAGAAGTAGAAGATAAAAAGCTGATGTCGAGTCCCCAATATCCAGCTGACTGGGAGCTTTCGAAGGTTGTTTATGCACTGGATAGTATAGTAGATAAATTCACTCCCCAAAGAACAGGGAGCTTTCGGATCTGAAGGTCAGTTGGGACTTGGACCCAAAAGCCAAGCCTAGTTTGATAGTCAGCGCGCTTGAATGACGACAAATGCACGGCGCGCACCCATTAACAATATATATTATTTCTAAACTAAAATAAAAAGACAGTTAACAAAAAATAATATTAAAACAGAACGCGCGGTGCACGATTTTCTGACAACAATTCAGTTTCGCTTTTCATACAATTTTCATTGCATTTTTCCTTTTTGTTTTCCACACACGTGGTGTTCTTTTCTGTTGCTCGCCCTTCGGTAGTGGTTATTTTTTTTGGGTTACATTGAAAAAGTACACCGACTGCCAGCCGAATTCCCATTCGAACCTTAATTTGACCAATTGACGGAAAATTAATTGCGCACAAAATTAATTAGCAAGCGAATATATAATTTTTTTTACGTGAAACGAGCGTGTTATTTGTCAAAAAAAAAGATTTTACAACTGATTGTGTTTAAGTAATTTAACCTGAGATATATATCTATGTGTGTTTGTGCTACGATCCGAAATTCCGATATTGCGGTAAGTGGCGTGGTTTTTGGCGCGAATAAAGTCAGTTTCCTTTTGTGCCGTATTTCTCTCCCGATTTTTCTGGCGCCAAAATGAATGAAAACGGTTGGCAACATTCTCGAGCTAACATGGCAACATTCTGCTAATGGAGCTTGGAATAGAAAATGTTAGAAGTTCTGGGAACAGCTCTCCGACTTTGTTTTGTTTTGCGCTCTCTCGGCGATATGTGGGATCTCTTATTCCGGGAGCGGTTGGTTCATTGACCCAGCAACAACAATATTCGCCAGATCTTCTCCTCCTCAGCGATTTGCGGAATTCATCCGCTCTACAGTTAGAAATATTTCTAGTCGAACAGCAGGCAAAGTCGATCGGCGGAGTCGAGAGCCGCGTTCAGTTGCCTTCGAGCCGTACTTAGAAGTGGTAGAGCCCCCAGGAATCGAAGAGATTTTCCCGTAACTTGAACATTCTGACGAAACCCCTCTGACCGACCGACCCTCGCAATCACACTCATCTATATACTGATATATAGACCTATGTATATTGCGCAGATCACACTTTAAATGCCTTTCGTCCAGAGATTTCAACAAATACGTAATTTTGTTATGAACGTCTGCCTCGTCGAGGCCATCCAATTCGTCCAGGACCTCACGCATGCCCTCTGCCTGGATCTCCAGGGCCTGTTCAACCTCAAGTAGAGATCCCCGAGTGCTCACCCAGCGGTAAGTAACGGCATTGGGGAAAAGTGAAAGTGCGGAAGATTACGGTTATCGGGTTGTCGGGAGAAAGGGGAAAGTGCAAACCTCATGGCAGCTGCACTCCATTTTGAGAGGTTATGTCAAAGGAAAAGAAAGGAAATTAGAAATTATAACAAGGCAAAGACTAGTGCATTTTTTATTATCTTTTGACTGGTTTTCATTTTCACTTTATAGCAAAAAACCCAAATTATTACGAAATGATTGCTTAATTGTGCTAACAATTTTTAAGATTGATTTCCTGCAGATCCTCCAATAAACAATTTGTATTTGCTGTCCATAGTTTAACAATTGTTCTAAAAATTACCAAAACTAATTTAAACTCAAAAGGTGTCAGAGCAACGTTTTGTGGAGGCTTCTAGAAAATAGTTACATCAGCAAAAATCAAAAATATTTTTTTTGTACAATAATTGCCCACAACAATATTAAGAATACAATTTAAAAAGAAAAATACATCGTTAATAAAACCTAAATATAAGCATTTTTTACGTTAATAAAGGAGAAGAGAGAAAACTTGCCAGTAAAAATTCTATTTAGCATAAGGTATAATAAGATGATAAAAGAAAAAATCCAAAAATTATTTATTTCAAGAAAATGTTTAACAAACCAAGCTAAAGCTCCAGAACAAAAAGAATTGAGAGATTTACAAAATAGAAAAGCAAACAAAAAATGACTATATAAAGTGTACCTATGACAAAAAAAGTTATGCTTTTGATTGTCAAAAGACAATTTAAAAAAAAACTTTTATAAAGAAAATAAAAAAAATTTTTAAATTAAGCTTGACTTTCTCTACGACCCTTCACATCATTTCATTATTTTATCCACTTGGACTTTTCACATTTCATCGCCAGCTCATACCATCAATCACCCTTCATTAACCAACCGCAAGCACCTCACAAAGCTGACCAAAAAACGCCTCGACATCCAGAATCCTGAGACTGAACTGAGACGGACGTTTTGCTTGGTTTTTAAAACTAAACGACTCTTCGGAACCCCCGCCCCCGTTGACCTTTCACTTATCCACATCCCTTGATCCACAAACCGACCCTTTGATCCGATAAACTCATCCATATCCCTCGATCACGATGCTCTCCTGTGCCTCATTCAACAAACTTATGTATCCAACGGCCGCAGATGTGGCCAAACCGCCGATGGTGGGCTTGGAGGTGGATGGTGGACCCATGGGCTCGCTGGCCAGTCTCCAGGCCCTGCCTTCGACCACCTCGGCGGGCAGTGGAGCCCCCAGCGAGACCCAGAGCGAGATCTCCTCGGTGGACAGCGATTGGAGTGACATACGCGCCATCGCCATGAAGTTGGGCGTTCAAAACCCAGACGATCTGCACACCGAGCGATTCAAGGTTGATCGGCAGAAACTGGAGCAGTTGATAAAAGGTAATGCTAGGTTTTTATCTCTTTCAATTTTCAATTCATTATGATTCTTATAGCGGATAGCTCTATCGAGGGAATGAATGGAGCTGAGTATTTTTTTCATGACGTAAGTACATTTACAGTTGTTAGATATAATTTAAAATTTTAATATATATATTTTTTAAGTTTTCCGTTCTTAAAAACTTAAAAAAAATTGTACATTTTGTAGCCTATTTATTATATACTGAATTAAAGCTTTTCGGTAATTTTATTTTTCATAATTATTTTTTAGATCGAATCCTTATTTTTCCATATATTTTTAAGACTTAGAATGCCATGCCTTACAAGTTTTAAACGAAAAATAATATGATTTCGATTCATTAGGGTCTTAAGCTATTTACTCTTTGAGCAAAATTTTTAAGTTAAATGATCCATGTCTTTCTTTGGCATTCCGACTGTTCCACCATAAATTTCAGTGTATAACGCAAACTAGTTTTAAGATACCGTTAGGACCGTCTAGAAGCTCTGCTGACTTGGTATATTAGAATCGCCATATAACCAATACAAACTGTTTTACTAGATCATGAACACGACGGATACGTATGTGAGCTGGCCTTGCAGACTCAAAATTGGTGCCAAGAGCAAGAAGGGTGAGGTTTTTTTTGTATATTTTCATTGGAATTTTAATTAATAAATATTTTAATTAAAGATCCGCATGTGCGAATTGTGGGCAAGGTGGAGCAAGTGCAGCGGGCCAAGGAGCGCATCCTGAGCAGCCTGGACTCGAGGGTGGGTTCTACTGCTGTTTATTTCATGGTCTAATTTTTTTAATGCAATACTTATGAGCAGGGCACCCGAGTGATCATGAAAATGGACGTCAGCTACACGGACCACTCGTACATCATCGGACGAGGTGGCAACAATATCAAGCGCATAATGGACGACACCCACACCCACATCCACTTCCCCGACTCGAACCGCTCTAATCCCACGGAGAAGTCCAACCAGGTGTCGCTGTGCGGCAGTCTGGAGGGCGTGGAGCGGGCCCGGGCCCTCGTCCGGCTCTCCACCCCGCTGCTCATCTCCTTCGAGATGCCCGTGATGGGACCCAGCAAGCCGCAGCCCGACCACGAGACACCCTACATCAAAATGATCGAGACCAAGTTCAATGTGCAGGTGAGTGGTCTAGATTATGGGCTTAAAGTGATAAAATATATATTAAATATAATAAAATATTATTTTCCATTTAACCTGTTGCTAAAAATTATATTGAATACGGGAATATACTTATTTTAAACTTGAAAGTAAATAAGTGATCATAATTAATTTCTTTACATAAATTGAAACATATTTTGCATATAAAACGGGTATTTTTGAGAAAAACTTAGAAGTAGGTAATAATTAATTAAATTTCAAATGTTAATGTTTCTACGAAACCATATTGAATTTATTCCATATCCCATCTTTTACCCAGGTTATATTCTCCACTCGTCCCAAGCTGCACACCTCGTTGGTTTTGGTCAAGGGATCCGAGAAGGAATCGGCCCAAGTGCGAGATGCCACTCAGCTGCTGATCAACTTCGCCTGCGAGAGCATTGCGGTAGGTTCAGGACGAATGTACCCACTTTATACCGATCAGATCACCGATTCCTATTCCACTGTTCTTTCAGAGCCAAATCCTGGTGAATGTCCAGATGGAAATCTCGCCGCAGCACCACGAGATCGTCAAGGGCAAGAACAACGTGAACCTGCTGAGCATCATGGATCGCACCCAGACCAAGATCATCTTCCCCGATCTGAGCGACATGAACGTGAAGCCGCTGAAGAAGTCGCAGGTCACGATCAGCGGACGCATCGACGACGTCTACTTGGCGCGACAACAATTGCTTGGCAATTTGCCCGTAGCATTGATTTTTGACTTTCCGGACAACCAGAACGATGCCTCCGAGATAATGAGCCTCAACACCAAGTACGGCGTCTACATCACCCTGCGCCAAAAGCAGCGGCAGAGTACTTTGGCCATTGTGGTCAAGGGAGTGGAGAAGTTTATAGGTGAGTTTAACCAACTATCCCTTTAAAAAAATGATTTTTCCAATGCGTAATCTCTATAGAAAATATTCTCTGAGCTACCAAGAAATACCATTCGGCCTAAGAAACGTACTTTTTTTCCTGCTACTTTACATTTATTTTAAATTTTTTATAAATTTCATTAACTTTAAAATTAAAAGACTATCTGACCTTTCAAACCGCATTTATTTTATAGGGAAGATAAAAAATATTCTAGCTGGCTTTGTATGATTATTTTTTTATTTAATAATATAAGTAATATATTAGTCTTAAATTAAATTACAATTTTCAGCATTATTTTACCTGAATATTTGACTGTTCTCTAATGATTTCGAATTTCCCACCTTCCCTAGACAAAATCTACGAGGCCCGTCAGGAGATCCTGCGCCTGGCCACGCCGTTCGTGAAGCCCGAGGTGCCCGACTACTACTTCATGCCCAAGGACAAGGACCTCAACCTGGCCTACCGCACCCAGCTAACCGCCCTGCTGGCGGGCTATGTGGACAGCCCCAAAACTCCCTCCCTGCTGCCGCCCAATCTGGCTGGCCAGCTGACGCCGTATGCCAACAACAATCACCTGCTGTTGAACGCCAATGGCCTGGCCACGCCCACCGGGATATGTGCGCCCACGCAGAAGTATATGCAGTTGCACAACAGCTTCCAGCAGCAGCAGACTCAAGGTCGGTCCGTGGTGGTGGGTGGTGGTGGTCAGGCCCCGAACAACAACAACAACTATCTGCAGGTTCCTGGAGCGGTGGCGCCGCTCAAACCGCCGACTGTTTCGCCGCGGAACAGCTGCAGCCAGAACACGAGTGGCTACCAGAGCTTCAGCAGCAGCACCACCTCGCTGGAGCAGTCGTATCCGCCATATGCCCAGCTCCCGGGCGCCGTTTCCTCCACTTCCTCCTCCACGGCAGGATGCCAGAATAGGGCGCACTACTCCCCGGACTCGACCTACGGAAGTGAGGGAGGTGGCGTAGGAGGAGGAGGAGGTGGTGCCCGTTTGGGTCGCCGCCTCAGCGATGGAGTGCTCCTGGGACTGGGAAACTCCAACGGCGGTGGTTCGTCCTCGGGCGGCGGAGGAGCCCATCTGCTGCCCGGCAGTGCCGAGAGCTATCGCAGTCTGCACTACGAGCTCGGGAACAAGAACTCGAGCAGCCACCGCGCCTTCGACTTCGACATGAAACGGGCCCTGGGCTACAAGGCCATGGAGCGCACTCCGGTGGCGGGGGAGTTGCGCACACCCACGCCCGCCTGGATGGGCATGGGCCTGAGCAGCACCTCGCCCGCCCCCCCTGCCGCCCCGCTGGAGAACGGGGAGGGGAATGGTGGTGGCGGTGGATCGTCCTGGCGTCTGCCACCGGGTCTGGGCTCCCCCTACGGACTGAGCGCCACCACAGGACTTCTGGACGCCACGCCCGTCAACCGACGGATGCAGCTCGCCCAGCACAAGGACATCCAGACTCTGCTCACCAGCTTGGGCCTGGAGCATTATATCAGTGAGTAGTTCCCGCCGATTGTCTCCGGTTTTTGCCAACTGTGTACGAAAGATGTCCTTTATAAAGCTTATGAGTCTGACCTGGACTGGAGGGAGTTTTTTATTCCACACACTTGGAAATTAAAATCTTAGCCAGGGAAGAATGTGCTCTTCTTGTAAAGGGAGAGAAATAACATCAAAAACTAGAAGCAAATTCTATGTGTTTTTTGTACCATAATATTAACACGTTTAATAGGCTCCAAAACCAATAATAATATATTTTTTTTAAATTTATTATAATGATTCTTTTAAATTTTTAAAATTTAATTTTAAATATATTTTCTAGAATATCTAAGCTTAACTTTTGTGTAGATACTGAAGCCGCCTTTCGTATTTATCCTTGCAGAAATTTTCGTGCTGAACGAAATCGACCTGGAGGTGTTCACCACGCTGACTGAGGACAACCTGATGGAGCTGGGTATCGCGGCGTTTGGAGCTCGCAAGAAGCTGCTGACGGCCATTCACACGCTGCTGGCCAACGAGGCGGCCTGCAGCACAATGCCCAGCAGCAGCTCCTCGCAGAACTCCTCGTCGCCGCGATTCTCCGGCAGTGCGGCCCCGGGCGCTGAGCGCCGTCCCTCCAACCAGTGGTGATCCGCCCCCGTTCTGTCTTTCTATCTATCTTTATTTTTTTTTCTGCATGCCCATTTATTTGGTAGTTTGGTAAGAGAGAGATCAGGAGAATCGAATCGAATCGGATCGCAGAGAATATATAGGAAAATCAGGAAGAAAATGGCAAACTCCTTTCGGGCGAACATGCATAGCTTTCCCGAAACAAACACACACACACTCACAGCCTTGACCTTGACTTATACTCGCATTTGTACTCAAATTCCAAGTAGCAGAGCTGCGCACGGGAAAGTACCCAGTTTGCCCAGTTTGCCAATAGATCGTAGTTGCCCTCGCTTTAAGCCATTAATTTATTTCGAAATTATTTATATAGAAAAGAGAGAAATCCCCGTCTTAAACAAAAATATTGTGAATTATTTATGAAATCTAACCAAAACGAAATCACGTATTGTAAGAAATGAATTTATGTAAAATAATTGAAAGAGAAAGCAAAAAACTAAAAAAGGAAACCACAACATGTATTAAGTGATAAGCAAAACAGTCACGCACAAACATTTGATATGAATAAATTGATGTCTATGAAAAATCACCACAAGGATTTTTAATAATAATAATAATTATTAATTTATTTGTAAAATGTAAACTATATATTTTTATTGGACATTTGTAATTGTTGTCTTCTGTTTCAGAAAATGTAGTATTTTTAAGTATCTTTATTTATAAGTACACCACTCCACTGAACTCTATTTTAGCCTGGTTAGCAGACAGCTGAGAATGGAGGCTAATGACTTTATTGTCTCCAGTTGTCTGCATAATTTGTATTGCATTATTCTTAGCCTCGAAGTCGTGCCAAGAAAAAAAGAAAAGCAATCTCCAGGGCAACAAAATCGAATGTGTATCCTCCTCACACGGAGCAAAAGGGGGCGGTGAGAAGGGGCGTGGCTGGGCTAATGAACTGAAAATGTTTTGCTCCAGTTGCCGGTTGTTGCTACCGTGTTGCGGTCATCAGCATAATTGCAAATTTTTATGATTATGACATTTTGGGCGCAAAGTGCTTCTGCCAATGGCAACTAATTTCTGCAGCCATCTCAGTCTCATTTTCTCGGTCTGGACGACATTTACATCGGGGATATGTTCCACTGAAGCGCTTCGAGTAGGCTTTTGTGGGACTTTTTGGCAAGCGATTTGATTTACAATTATGCTGGATTTGAATTGGGCTCTAAAAATGGAGTCACTGACCAGCCGAATAGGCGCCGGATTTGTCTGACCATATAAATAATGAGAAGTACTTGGTTAAAGACCATAAATAAAATTTTTTCGTAGGATAAATACGAAGCATAAATAAATATGTACTTGTATAAATTGTTCAATGTATAATTTTAATTATACAATTAGTTTTACAAAAAAATTAAATTATTTCATAAAAAAGGGTTTTTTTATTCCTATTTATTTTATTAAATATTATGAGGTTACACATTCTATGTTAAAAACAAGCTTAATTTTTTACAATTTGGTTTTTAATTTTACAAATTTTAAATATATATTTTTTATTATTTTCTGCAACTTTTGAACATAAATACGTTCTGCTGTCGATTTTCAAGAGGGGAATCGTGGTGAGTTTCGGCAAGCAGTCCATCAAGCAGTTCGAAGGGGAACGAAGCAGTGCACAAAACTTAAGCAGGGCTGTGTAAAAACCTACCACTCAATCTTTCCCCTCGATTTTCCATTCGTGATTTTTCGCCCAAGGACTCGGATTTTCCGAACGGTCATCGGTTACGTTCGCCAATCCGAAGTCGGAAAATCACGAATGGCAAAGCGGTTGGGAGAGAAAAGCGTGGTGGCTTTGCTGGGCGAGAAATCTGTGCAAAGGACTCACAGTGACGCGAGTCCTGCGACTCCTGCTGCAGTTTACATTGCGTTGTCCTTGCGTGAGGACGTGCGTAGATCACCGTTTAATTTCCGCTGTATTACGAACATCGTGGGCTTTGAACAGCGCAAAAAGCTAAAAAAAATAATACAAGAAAAACAAATAGCCGAATTTAACTGTAACCGCAGGATTGAACTCTTTTTTGGCTTTGGCGTGCGTGTGTGCGATGCAGCTTTTGTGTTTCTGACATAGCATTTACCAAAACAGAAGGCGGAAAATAGGAAAAAGGATCCGGCGAAGGATCTGTGTGTGCGAGGCTGTTGCTTCTTCCACCTGCTTGTGTGCGTGCGTGTGTGTTTGTGCAGTCACGTGTTCTAAGGTGATTTTAACGAGTTCCGTGATACGCGAAATGAGATAAGGAGCGGGAAAGGGCCAAAGTCGAGAGAAGCAAGCGGCTTAGGCGGACAGAAAAAAGCAAAAAGGAGCAACATGGAGCAGCAACCAAATCCCCGTTCGCCAGGACACACAGGATACTCGGTGCTCGGCGCGCCTTAAAGGATTCGCAGATAAATCAACCGAAAATTGCATAAAATAAAATTGTTTGCCAAATTGTGCGCAGCAAGAGAAACAGGAAAGACAAAAATAAAACCAAAACTCGTACCCAAATACACATGTGAAATATGACTAGCGAGTTGCATTGAAAATATTATAAAAAAATATTAAAAAAAAGAAAATACGGCTAAAAAGAATCTGAAGGTAGGAATGCAGTTTTACTTTACTATGACATAGAATGATATTTAGAAAATAATAGTAATTTTTGTAATCGGTAATCTTTTTGAAGTTCGTGATGAGGTGGGCCAGAAAATTATTGCATTGTTTGAGCTGTTTCTTAGAGACTTTTATAAGAATCTAGATAGCCAGAAAAAAATATAACTTGAAATAAATAATTAAACTTAAATTTCTGTAATTTCGTTCATTTTTCTAATGTAAAATTCGGTTTTAAAATATTTTCTGTGAGGCACTGTTAAAAGGGGATTCAAAAACGACTGTCACACGAGATCTACCAAAATGAATCACTTACCCGCTCTCTCTGAAAATTCCCCTGTGCTTCTGTAATTACATATATCGCAATCTTTGGCATTTAAGTTTTGATGCAGCACTTCCTTGCACTTGGCAAGCCAATTTGGGGGCTCCGGGGGCAACCTTTCACATCCCAGCCAGCGGAAGATAAGCCGGAAGATAGACAGAAGGGCGTGCCCGGATCCATCCAGCCATCTAGCAGGCAAACAAAACTTGTCAATTGCCAAGGAGCGTGTCTCCGGGACCCCGGGCTCCTCCTTTTTCGGTAAACATTTCCCATAGTTGCCGGGGAACTAGGCAACAATGTCTTGAGCTCGGCTCTGCTTCTTCAATTTCCCCATTTTTTGTTGATGGAAAATGTCAACTGCCTGGCAGAGTTTTTCCGCCTCACTTTCGGGGCAACCCACTGACTAGGCAAAAATTGTATTTAGTGGGACAATCAATATCGGATGAGGAGAGGAGAGGGCAGACGGTTGGGCGGCAGTCAAACATTTATTTGATTGACTGATTGATATGTGAAATGATTTATTGCCGCCGGAGGAGAAGGAGTAGAAGAAGGAAAGCCCAGGCAAGTGTCCACAAACAGCTGAGTCAAAAAAGTTTCGAAACAAAACGAGCAAACCTTTAACCAGTCGAGTAGGAGCATTTATTTTCCAACTCTATCTCTGCCATTTTCCATTTCCAACTCCGTTTTTTTTGTATTTTTTAAATTTTCCCAGCTCTGGCTTGGTCCGAACTTTTTCGCACGCTTTATGGGAGAATAAAGTAAATAATGAAAGCTATTTAGCACAGCCAAGGGGCGCATTAAGTCGTCGCCAGCCTTTTCGGATTATCCTGCGACCGGCTTAAAAATAACAACAGGACCCAGCAAGCAGAATCACACTGGGGAAAATAGCAAAGGTCTGCCGATCTGGCTTTAAATGAATATTATTAAAAATAAATCGGAAGTTTTGTCGTTAAAGCTGGCGAGTAAATTAAGATCTTTCTTTATTTAATATTTAAGATTTTAAGGCTTTATAAAGATTTTATTTATTTAGTTTGAAATATTTATCTATATGCTATATAAAGCTTTTGTAATAATATTTCCCTAAAATATATAACCATTTTTAAATAGTTAATAAAATTATTGACAGATTGTATGATACAAGCCAAGTGATTTTTTTACTCTGCCTTCTTGATCCTAACTCAAGTGATCGAAAGCTTAACAAATTATTTACTTTTTTGCGATTACCAATTTAAGAAGGGACCCTAGAAAATCGAAAAATATCAAAATGGCAGGGAATTATCGACTTCGATAAATGGTGTGTGGTATTCTTCTGACAGGTCTTCTTAATATATTTTTCCGTGTAATATCCGCCTAGAGAGAGGTAAGCTATGACCGGCGTTTAATGAGCTGTGTCCTGATCTGAGCTGCGGATGACCCCAGCCTCCCAGTCTGCCGTCCTCGCATTCGCTGTTCAGCTGGAGAAATTTCAGCCATTTTTTACTGCCACCTGCAACGGTGTCGCATTCTTCTTTCGGCCAGGCATTTCCCTTATAGCCCTGGTCTTTTATTTTCCTCGTTTTTGTTGTGTTTCGGCTTGGCTGCGACTGCTGCGGTTTATGAAAGAAAAAGAAATCCAGCCAGAAATGCAAAGGAAAAGCTTAACCAGGCGTGGGCGTTAATTAGTTTTCGCACTCCTTGTGCGAATATTTATTAGAAAATCTCGGGAAATTTCTTAGCGGCTTGCAATTATGCTTTCGTATTAATTTTCACCTACTCAGGCGGACAGATTTATGAGTGTATTTACTCAGCTAATCAGTGCAGCTTATCCTTGAGGTATTTGCTTGCCCTTAAATGCTTCGTTATGCCACTTGAGCTTTGACTTACAAAAGCTGGCGACCGAAGCCTACGATTGATTCAATTAGTAACGGGTTTACTTAGTTTGCCGTGTTTTCTGTCAGGCATTTAATATTTATTGCATAATTCAATGTCATTTATGAAGCCATGCAGCATATGCAATTATCGAATTAATTTATTAGCTTTCTGTTTGGCTACCAATTTGGATATTAATTTGCAGATTAAATTTAAAATTTAATGTTTATACATGGAAGCCTAGTTTATGAACAAAATGTTGCTAATTCAATTGGAAATTATTTAGATTAGAGCTAAAGAGATTTTAGAGATTATAAATTGGAATCTAAGAGTAAATTTATATGCCACATAAAATAAAATATTATTTAATAAAAAATATATATCGAGCATCAAGATTCTGCATCAATTTTTAAGCGCGAAAAACTTTTGCACAACTCGCAGTTTCAATTCTTATCTTCTATGATATATGGATTGAAAACGAAAGAAACTTTACAAATTTTCCACACTCGGGATGCACAACTTTTATTTTTCTGCCGTCTTAAACTTCGCCTCAACAAATACGAAAATATGGCGGTACAAAATACCTTGGGGCGATTGAAAAACATCTCATATGCAAATCCATTGTTGTTATTGGCATGGCCACTGGTTCTCCGACTTCAAGGATCAAGGATCTGGAGTGGCTCCCTTGGCTCAGGACCTCGTTGCCCACTTTTAGGCGCTAAAGGCGCATCTCAAGTGCAACATTCTCGACGAGCCCTGTATCTGTACCTAGCATATTTGTTGTTCGTTTTGCGGCTGCGAAAATGTTGTGGCATGTGGAAATTTATTTCATAATCTCTGCAACAAAAATCCCATACAGCACAACAGGAAAAAAAATGGGGGAAAACTTTTGCATATGAGCGAGCGAATCGGGCTGGGGAACTACGAGTAGCTAAGCATGTAATTTATATCCTTGAATGGCCCCACTTTTGCCCCTCGCAAACTCACTTCAGTTTTCGGGCTTCTCCTGGGCTTCTGGTATCATCTATGCAGTTATTGCCGATGCCCAGGGGCGTGGGTGGGATAATATTAAGGGGGAGATTAGAAGGGACTTTTCTACTGGGCTTATCGAAAAGGTTTGCAAGGGAAAGCAATTATTTTTTAATAAAAGGAAAATCCTTTTATATTTACGAAATATATTCGGTTATAAAATAGCACTTGTTTTCACTTGTTTAATTATAATTTAATTTGATGGTATTTTTTTAAACTTTTGTCAAAAGTAGGGAGCACGAAAGGCCCATGTTTTCTTTTTATAAAAAATACCTCCACTCACATCTCTTTCCACTTTTAATTTCGAATTTGGTCATAATTTAAGACCCAAAAATATGGGTGTTTTTACTCATATCTGACCACTGCGCCTCTGTTCATATTGCAAAATATTCGTTTTCCTGCGGCGGAAGTTTTTACGAATTTTCTGGTATTGGACTGAGCGGTCATAAATTTGCTTCTGCTCCTGTTGTGGTGTCTGGCTTTTCTGCTGCTGCTTCTGCATTGCTATTGCTATTGCTCCACTTCGGTGAAATTTTATTTGACCACATAAATTGTTTACCAATTTTCACAAGTTCTGTGCAACTCCATGGCCATCTGTGTGGCTGTGTATGTGTGTGCCTTTTGCCTTTGAAGGCTAAAAGCGGTTTAATCGGTCTCTTCCTCTCAGCAAACCCGATTTGATTTAGCTCCCAGTGCCCAGCCATCTATCTTGGTGGCTTTAAAAATGTATTTCCTTGCCATTGCATTGTTTTGTAATCGAGCAATCTGTGAAATGCTACAGACTCAACAGCAGCAGCAGATGTCATTGGCAATTGCTAGGGACGACTGGATATATTTATTGCAATGATAGTTTTGCAAATTGAGCTGGATGAAGGGAGCTGGCTGCACTGTTATGATTGGATGACTCTTGAAGGATTTATAAACTTGATTTTTGAGATTACAAATTACAATTTTCCACTCGAAAGTGGAGTGTCTTTGAAGAATGGAAGAAGGACAAACAAATTGATATGTTAGAAATGCAGGCTTTGTCAATTAAAGCGACATTTTTCTGTAAATATTTGTATGCTAGTGGAACAAACTGAACAAGGCAGAAAGGTAGAAAGAAAAATATTTCGCCGTATATCTGAAGACTTGAGATCCTGTTCACAAGTCCGGAAAATCGCCTAGCTCATTCCGACAGCAGATTGCATTCGTTTTTAAAGGGGGATTTCAGAATCTGTTTCTTTCACTTCGTTACTTAGCTTTGCTCCAGATGCAATTAACAAAAGGAACACGGGTTTAAGGGCAGCGCATTTTTATTATATCCTTTTTTTCGGTTTTAGTTTCCTTGTCTGCAAAAAAGACTGTAGTCTGGAAGTGCAGTTTGCGGCTTATCGCATTGGGAACAGACTTGCCCTTTTTGTTTGTCGCACTCCGTCGCTTAAGTTTGTCAATGCATAAATTAAAAAGTGGAAAGTTTTTGCCCAATTCGCCGCCTTTGTGGGTTAGTTTTGTGCTGACCTTAATGAAGCCAAAGCAATTAAGCCGGGGCCCTTGCAAAGTTAATGGAGTGTACACAGAATGGCCATTCGTTGGAGTCTTCGGGCCATGTGAGCAGCTCTGGGAAAGGCGCATACGAGATATTCTTGGCCCGATGCTGTAGTACAATTTGCTGCCATAAAAGATTACAACTTGTTAAAGTTCCTCCAACGAATCCTCCGGCACTGACCCTTTCAAGTCGGCCAGGGGATTATTATAATCCGATTTTCAACTTTAAAAGAGCCTCCGCCCCAAGCAGAAAAAAGCGAAGAATCTATTGAAAAATGTTATGCTGAAAGTCGAAGGAGCAGGAAGGAGCATTTGATGTGCAGTTAGGCAACAATGTGTTTTCGGGCCACATTCTCATACTCGTTAATGGCAAACTTTTCACTCAGACGAGCAAAATCGCTGCAGTTTTCTTTATAGTTATTACTTTATACAGTTTCAGACTTCCCTTGTTCTTTTCCTGCTGATTACGAAATTGCTTTCAATACTTTGGCCCAAAGTAGTGACTATAAGAAACTCACTTTGCAGCACCTGCAACACCCAGGGAAAACCTAAGTCGGCTCGGTAGACCAGGTTGCACTGGCCAAGGAGAGTTACGTGTTGCAGCCAAAGTTTAACGCATTAAGAACCGATGTTGTTGTCTGCCACAGTTTCGGCATTTTGCGGTTGGTTTGAGGTTGTTTTCGGGGAGAGCGCTTTTAAGGCATGACTTGGTTTCAAGTTTGACTACCCAGGATTTTAAGAATATTAAGAAAAATTAACCTTTTAGTTTAGAAGTAATACAATATGATTAAGATAATATTTCTTAATTATAAGGATTACTTCATATGACTTTTATTGGCAAAAAAATAAATACATCAATTCTTAATTTCAGTAAGAACGCGAACAACTAGCAACATGCGGTTTCCACAAATTGTTTACCAAACGGCTTTGGCCACACTCCTTCTGGCAATCACATTGGGTAAGTGAATTTAAAATAATTGTTGGCATAGCTAATAAAACTCCATCAATGTCGAAATGCTCATTAATGTCGAACCATGATTTGATAATCAACAGCATATTTAAATTGTTATTTCATTTAATGACTTCAGTGAAATTATAAAATTAAAAATAATATCAAATATTACAGAGCAATGAAAGTAAACACAACGAAATTAGCCAAGGCTGAACAAAATATGAAATTATTGAATGAAACATTGAAATGCAATTATGATAAAGTGAAACTAAAAAACACATTTATGGGTACTTCACTTTGTTGTTATTTCCTTTCCCATTAATGGTTTAATTAGCTGTGATTAAATTTGATATCATAGAAAAGCGCCTGAATTGGAATTTATGGCACCAATAAATACATTTAATGGAAATCAATATGAATAATTTGTTGAAATATAAATTGCAGTCAGGAATAAATCTAAGATTAGTGAGTGAAAAAAGTTAAGCCCCTTAAACGAAGCTTCTGAAAGTACTTTCATTTGAATATGCAATTTAACAACTGGAACTTAATTTACCTCGTCTAAGCTTTAAATTAATTGTGCATAAAAAATGAGCAGAAATTGTGTCGAAATAAATTCGATACATAAATTATGCTAATGACTTCTAGTTTATTTTGGCGCCTCATATTTCTTAAATTTGATTTAAAGTGTGGCCACACATTCAAATCACAATTCTTTAAGCCAATAACTCAGGCTGTCAGCGTCTTCTGGCGTACGAACAAACACACTATATGGGATTATATCTGGCCGAGCTTTACACACACTTCAAATTTTTATTGCCTCGTCTTTGCGGCTTTCGCCGCCGCTGAAAGTCTCATTTTATTTACCATCGCACATAAATTTCAAAAACCGCACGCACAGTCGAACGCGAGTACGTATACACATAAATATTTCAGCATCTTCAGGGAGGAGACCCCAAACTGATTTATTCAATAAATCACACAAGTTGCCGCCGCCACCACCGCCATTCACCTGGCCTTAACCCTTGGACGTGCGGCGCAGATTCGAGTTTTATCTGCATCTTCGCCCAGTCAATCGGTTCCAGGTTTTAGGCTCCAGGTTCCAGGAGCAGACTGCCAGGACACATGTCAATAAAATGGGGAATCTATCACACAAATGCATTTGCCTCAGCCTTTGCCTTTGGCCCCAAGTCGTAGCTAGGCAAAAGCGGGATGTGACAGTTGATTTCTCTCCTATATATAGGTATATATCTATCGCCCACTCCATCAACAGAAACTTAAATGACGGCGAATACATCAAACGACATTTAAGCCCTTCGCGTGACTGAAATTTTCGACTCTTTGTCACTCGGAGCGTTCTGGATTTGGGCCTGTTATCCTTTTGCACGGCTCTTGGCTCCTTCCCCCTTTTTCAGCTCCTTGCCTGTGCCACACGACATCTGTGGAAGGACTCTTGATAAATGCCTCCAACGTGCCTGGCATTTGTTTCGTGCAGCATACCTTTTTGGGCTTTATTTAGTAGTTCGGCCCACTACTTTTGTGTAGGCTGTGTGGATGCTGTGACAAGTGACTGTCGGGCTTAGCTTTCCCTATTTTCCCTGCGGGCTGCAGACAAAATAACACCAGCTTAAAGTTGTGTAAAAATGAGATTACTATATGTTAAGCCTTGAACACCAAAAAGGGAAAATAGTAAACTCCATTAGGGGATTTAATATTTAAAAAAAAATGTATAGCAAGAAAGTGGAATTATTTAAATTATCTATCGTTGAATTTATGTTTAAGTTAACCCTTGCCTTTCTGTTCGATTAAAAGTCAAGAAAGGATTTACGAAGGATGTGTATTTATTTACATCTCGCCAGGTTAGCGACCATTTCGTTGTCCTTTTTTATTTTAATTGCCCCAATACCTTCTTTGTATTTTCTGAATATAAGCCCCATTGAACCGTGATTTAGTGCGATATGCACACAAGCCGTGCATCGAAAGTTCAGACCGCCCACGTGATTCGGGTTAGCCTTCAAAGGGCGGGTCGGACATTAGCCATGCAAAAAGGACGAAGGAGGACAATCTGCCCACACCTGGTCGTCTGCGTCTCGCCATACGTTCAATGTCGCACAAAAACGTTTATTAACCTGCCATTATCGAGCCGGTTGCCCAAGTGCACTCGATGGAGAGACGACGACGACATTGTACTAGACTCCGGGGACCTTCATTTTACCCAAAAACACCCATCCAGCCACCCACAATCCACCCAAACAGAACTCCCACAATTCACAGGGCCCGATAAAAATCTCCAACACGCACAACAATCGGGGAAACAGCAAAATGTTTTTGTACCCCCTTTTTGAAGGGGTTTGGAATGGGATTCTCTTTTATACCCGAGTACCTGGCTTAGTACACAAGTGGCTAATTAGTCTGGGGCTACGTAAATCGGTCGTGCACTTGATTTACTTTTAATAACCACATGGCGAGAGTGCTTGCAAATTTGTGACAATATTATTTCCATTTCAGTTTTGTTTCAAAACTCGCGTTAATGTCTTAATGTTGTTCGGGAAATTGTCATTTATTTGGGGCCTGGCGAGGCCTTGAGGTTTGTCGGTTGGTTTGTTGTTTTGTCGGTGGGTAAAATTAGTGGATATCGAGCACAATAGGCTGTAATTTGTATTAGCCGCAAATGTGATTTAAATTGCAAGGCAGCGGAAGGTCAGCTAAGTGGAAAGGTGTGGTTTTCCCAGAGTTTATTGATTTTATTCCATGGGGCTCAATCAGGTCCTTATGGTAACCAATGTTTTAAATTTCCATCAGTAGATCATTGGCCTGATATTACTTCAATAAATCTTTTTAAGCAATTAGCAGTATCCTTTCCTAGTTATATTTCCCTCAAAGGAGAAGACAACAAACTGTCGCCTCGAGTGGCGGCTCCAACTCGTCTTTAATTAAAGCTCCATCGAGGCAACCTCCTCGGTTGGAAAATCAATTCCCGTATATATTATCGAACCAATTACAGTGCATTCCGTGGCGTAGAATTCCTGATCCGATGTCATCTCGCTAACCACTTTTCCACTCGAGACAGGCCACCGCACAGTTTCCGTTTCCCCTTCGCCCCTTTGGAGGATGCTTGACTTGGCTTCGCCTTTCGCTTGGCATACTTAAAACTAACAGGCAAATCAATGGGCGAGGGGGGATTGGTTCTGCAAAAAATATGAATAAGCTCAGCTCTGGCAGAGTGTTGGGAATTTCGATTTTGAGTCCTTTGCTCGTTTACTAAAAAATCATAGCCAAACGCAAACGACAAGCGCCACACCAATCCATGCCAAAACCAGCAAGCACAGAAAAACAAGAGTGAAACCGTGGTATTTGAGATAAAAGCGGTTATTTTAAGATCTGCTATGTTCGAACTAATAAAAATTCAGTCATGGCATCAAAACAAGGAATAATTTTTCGGATTTTTTAAAATATTTAATCGGAGAAAATTTGAGAATCTAAATTTTTTACAATAAAATATAAAAATATTATTATTTATTAATACTTAAAAAAAGTAGAAAAATAATATTTTGAAAAAAGAAAAATTTGTGAATTAAAAATCTGCACTAGTTGAAGATTGATATTCTTGAATTGAGATAGATTTTTTTCTCAGTGCACCGATGGGAACGCCAAACAACTATTATTGATGCAGAGACCTGAGTGAGGGGCGTGTGGGTGGGTGGGTAGGTGGTCGGATCGTTACATAAAATGCATGAAAATCTCGATTCGGCTAAGAGCAAAAAAAGCGGACCAAAACCGTGCAGGGGACGGAGACGAAGGGAAACAAATTGAAGCTTTAGCCACGACTGACAAACTGCAGCTGTAACGGCCAAATGTTTTTGGCCATTTTATTTTTCATTTTCGCTTCGTTTTCGTTGTCGTTGTCAAGCGGATGGGATGAAGCTTAACAATTTTTATGGGCGGGGCTGCAAAATATGGCTGCAGCCATGGGTTAAGCGGCTTAATTGCTCTGGTAAGGTCAATTCGGGGATGCAAAGCCCTCGAAAAGGAAAACTATTTCCCTGGCATGTGCCTGCGGGCAAGCCATGAAGAAATTTGCATAATAACAGGAAACAATTTCGCCTGTGTGCGAGTGCGTGCCCTATGCGACGACCATTAGGGTCCCAAATCCCTTCTGACCCCGGTCATTGGCATCGCTTTGCCTTTGCCTTTGGGGACCCCAAAACTATGCACCGGAAAACGATGTGTTAGTTTGACAAAATGCAGCAGGAACGTCAAAATGTGGCAGATGGGCAAGGAGAAAAAATAATGCTGGGACCATTTGGGGGGTTTTTAGGCATGCACTTTTAGCAAATCTCTCCCCAGGGTTTTTTTTTGCATTTATTGGTATTCGTAATCAAACTGAAATTGTCAATACAGCACGAAAAAGTAGTGTATATTTTAATTTTATCCTAGTAATATCATTATTTCTCTTTCAAAATGGATATCCCTACAAATGACTGGTATATATGTTGTTGTATAAATATTTGTGCCAATAATAGTTTTTAAAAAATTATATTTTATTTTACATTAAACGCAAATACCAGAGGAGATAAGAGGATAACGATTCCTTGATTTTCCCCATTTTTACACCCCCCAAAATCACATTTATAAAGGGGCGAGTTCATAAAGGATAATATATATCATATTTAAGTCCCCTGCGGCGCGTTATTGTTTTTAAAACACACTAATTATCTGGTTCGCCCTTGGGTTCACGACCGATTTGCATGCTCGAGAATTTTAATATACGCATGTATGCCGGAATATATGTATGTTATGCATTCCAGTCATTATCCCCTCTTGTTGTTGTTATTGTTGTTGTTGCCTTAGCCTGCGATCCTGTTCCTCGCCACGCTGGCAAATAGTTAATAATCGTTATTAATATCCAGGTGGGTAAATGCCTGGCGCATAACACCAAAGCGCTGCATATTAACACAAACTGGGGCGCAGAGACAACAATTTTCACCTCCATTATGCAGCAAACCGCT